TTACTGTAGAACTGAGCTCTCCTCCAGGTGGGGTCGCCCACTCTCCAGAGCTGTCCTGCCCTCTACCATGGGCTCAGCCTAGACAGGGGAGAGAGGAGGGGCCGCAATCCTCTGGGGCACTGGGCCCAGCCCTGAGTGCCCTTGTCCTCCTCTCTCAGAGTGCCTGTGTAGTCTGGGGACCTGTGACAACAGCGTGCACAGTGATGGGGCCTGCCTGCAGGGAACCTGCCGAGACAGATCTCGGGGGAGATTCTGCGACGTCCGTTTCCTATACTGCGGATACTCTGCACACATGTGCCATGTCCATGCCGTCTGCATATACAAACAAAACACATTCAGGTAGGTCATAAGGTAAGGCCGCCGCCACCCTGCCGCCTGGGCAAGGCGCCACCCCGGCTCTAAAGACTGTCATAAGTGAAGGCCCATCAGACGGAGCTGGACCCAGACTGAAACACTCCCTGCTTTGAACTTAGCAGCTGGGCAAGCTTCTCGACCTCTGAGCCTCACTTGGCTCGTCAGTACCAATGACACCTACCTGACGGGGCCTACTGGAAACTGAGCTTAAAAGCACTTGGCACCAGGGCCCGCACACCGTATGTGTCCCATCAGGGAATACGTAATAATTCCCGCTACAAAATGAAGATTGCCACCCACTTCCCAACACTGAAGGCACCTTTGCTTCCTCAGGCTCCCTGTTCAAGGCACTGGCATGCAGTCCCATCTGTCACGGACAAGACGCCAGACTTGTACCAAGACTCCTTCCTTGGTACTGTCGAGCACTGTAGTGGGGCTGGAGCATGGCGGTGCTGTAGGAAATGCTCTGGTCTGGGGAGAGCTGGCTCGGAGGTGGTCGGGAACACAGAGGGTCTGGAGCCCCACCCGGTGCTTCGGCCCCTTTTCTGCACTTACATGTTTTGGTCTATCTCCGGCACCCGACTACAGGCTATCCGGGGCTAGAGATGACATTTTTCTTTTTCATGGTTTATAGGACAGAGGGCATCTTCTTAAGGAATTAGGGCCCATTTCAGTGCAGCAGGGGAAGAACACTGTGACCAAAATGACCCTGGATACCCCTAAGTCATGGCAAAGGACCATGTGCCCATAAAATGTACGATGAGCCAGTATGGGAATGGGTCAAACTAGGTCATTCCTCTGGGACCGCGACACCTGAGAAATGCTGTCTTAAATTTTGGGAAGCCTGTCTGATTGAATTTGCAGCAAAACATAAAGGGTGCAGCGGAGCCACGCTGTGTCCCCAGCATCCTTCACTGAGCACGCGGTAGATACTGCTGGAGGGATGGAGGGCCACGTGTGGCAGCTAAAGGGTCACCCGTAGAGCAACTTGAGAGGCGCGTGGGGGAGGCCGGTGGGTCAGAAGCTAGGTCACCTGCAGAGCAGGGCGCCCGCAGGAAAGCGTGACCCCGTGGTGTTTTCTGAAAACACTTTGGAGTTTTGATTATTCTTTATTGATTAGGATAATTGCAATCAGAAGAACTAAAAACACCTGTCCAAATTGATAAACCTAATTAGGAAGTTTAGAAATATCTTGGCTTACTGAAATGCACACAGCTACGAAATGCTATTTTAACCATCTTTCTGTAAAGAGAGTAAAACAAGAAAAGAAAGTTAGACACAACACAGGATTTCACTAAACAAGATGACAGGAGTTCAGCAACACTTGTTATAGTGTGTAGCATTGTCTTCATATTTGTTGTTCTGGTTATCAGTCATAAGCATGCAAAATTAGTGGGAAAAAATCAAAAAAGAAAAAGAGCTGTTACCTAAATAGAGCTGTTCTCTGCTGGCCCAGAGGTAATAACCAGCCTTGGACAGGGAGAGATATATACAGCCAAGTCCTGGTCCAAAAGGGGCAGAGGAGCCGCCGGTGCTGAGCCTTGGGCGTCACTCTGGACTCCTCTGCTCCACCCTGGAGCATTCACTCATTTCATGCAGAGCCTCGGGCAGGAGGATCCACTTATTCTCCAGACGAGGAGAGCAGGTCGCCCACTGTTGAGGACACACAGGGCCCCACACCTGCTAAGAGGAGGGTGCCTGTCCAGCTGCAGAGCCCAGAAGGAACCCGACCACCTGAGCACACTGAATTCCTCCCCAAGAGGAGGCGCTCCCAGCCACCCCTCCTGTGCATGGGGCTTCATCTCTGGACTGAGCTGTGCTCCCTTCTCCTCTACAGCTGCATCTGCAAGGACGGCTATGAAGGTACCGGCCTTGAGTGTTCCGAGAAGGACCCTTGTGCCGACTCAACCCGGGGAGACTGCAGCCGAAATGTGAGTGTCGGCCGGTCTTTACCTCCGAGCTGCTAGGGACTTGTTAGAGATCCTGAGGAAAGAAATTCCAAAACTCAGTGTGTGGTCGCTCTGCACATTCGGGAAGCTTTTGTGTTTCAACTTCCAGTGTTACAGACACCTGCCAGGCACCCCACCCCAGAGTTCCAGGTGGGCGGGCACCAAGGGCTCTGGGTTCTTCAGAAAGCACAGCCCGAGGATCTGATACTGAGCTCCAGGCTGATAACTCCTGACTCAGGCTTTAGGACTTCCAGGGATGTACCCTATCCTACCAGCACGCTGAAGTTGGTGTTAGGCACTGAGGCTCAGGATGCTGAGCGGGTGGCCCTGGACCCTGCCACAGTTATGGCGTGCCCCAAGCCACGCTGCTCCTGCTGCCCAGTTGCCTGCATTCCTTACCTGGGTGTGACAGTGGGTTTCACCACTTCCTCTCGCACTGCCCGCAGTACTCTGTCCACCCCCTGCCCAATGGCTGGAAATGAATCTGGCCCCTCCCCACAGCCCCTGGCTACAAGTGCTTCCCTCACCTGTGTGGTTCTGGGGGTGCGACCGGACACAAGGGCCTAGCTGGGCCCACCTGACAGCGTTGTCTCAATGACTTGTCACATCCTTCTCCTCCTCCCAGCCTGCCCTTCAGAGTATGAGGATAGTGCTAAGGAGCTCAATCCCAGGGTCACAGAAAGACGTGGGCTCCTGCCTCTGTGGCTGTCTGACTTGGGGTACCGCCTACTCCCCCTTTGTGAAGTGGAGACGACAACAACCTGCAAAGCAATCACAGCAGTCCCTGGCTTAGGCAGCGGCACAGCAACAGGAGCGGTGGCAGCCAGCACCGTGCAATTTTACTCTCTACACAATCTAACTTTTTCACTGACATTACTGCAAATAAGCCTGCCCATCCTTTCCACCTCACTCTGCACACACGCGCATTCTCAGAGCTTACCCCTGGATCCTTCAAACTCCCAGAATGGTGTGGCTTCCCCGCAGGCCAGAGCTCTGTGGCTCTTTCTCTGTCCTCCTCCCACAGGCTGAATGCATCAAAACGGGCCCAGGGACACATATCTGCGTGTGCCAGCCTGGCTGGACAGGCTCCGGCAGGGACTGCGTGGAGATCAACCCCTGCCTGCTGCCCAGCAGGGGCGGCTGCCACAGCAACGCCACCTGTCTGTATGTGGGCCCAGGCCAGGTAGGCTGCGTCGGGGTGGAAGCGAAGAGGAAGCCATGACTCTCTTCTGCAGCCACAGACTTGCACTGACTGGAAGTTGCTGCAGCAGCTTTTTCCACCCTTGGTGGTGGGGGATGGGTTGTCACAGCAAACCAATGATATCGGGAGTAATATCATCCCATTGCATAGAAGAGAAAACCGAGGCACGGAGGGGCTAAGTAATTTGCTCACATCACATGGAAAATAAACAATGGGATTTGCGTCCAAGAGCCTGACCCCAGAGCTGCCACCAAGTCAGCTCCTGGACCCCACATTAGACTTCCAGGACAGAGAGGGCAACTGATACAAAATGCACTGGGATCGTAGCCATGGGAAGAAGGAGATGGGTGGGGCCCCAGTCATCACGCACCCTCCGGGTCCACCCCTCCCAGAGGTAGGCTGAGCTCCAGGAGGCCACGGAGACAGAAGACATGGAGGACAGGCCCCGCATGGGAAATCACCGCTTATCTTTTGGGTTTTTATGCAGCTCCTTGCTTGCATGTTCTGAGTCTGAACTTCCTAAAATCCCCACCTCCTCTTGTGCTCCTCAAGGCTGTATTGTCCCTACCCGATAGGCACTGCGTGAGGTGGCCTGCCCTTGCCCGCCATGACTGCCAGCTTGGGCCAGCCCCGCATACCACACGGCTGAAGGAATCAGCAAAAGATTTTATAGAGTGGACCAAGGGAGTGAGGAGGGCATCCCAGAAGCCAAGGGAACATGAGTTTAGGAGACAGGACAGACGCCGTGTAGATAAAGTGGAACAGGCACTCACGGCACACTCCTCTCCTCCTTTGTTGGCCCAGTGATGAGCAAAAACCACACCTTGTGCCAGGCTGCAAACACAGGAAACAGAGATAATGGCTGGGAAGCCTGGTGGGGTGACCCCATTGTGTTCTGGCTGCTCCCAGAATGCAGGGCTCCTCTCCTCCTTAGGCTCCTGGGGTCTCTGCCAGCCAGCACAGCCTGCTCACGGACAAGGAGCTTCAGTGTGTTGTCCAGGAGCCCTAATCCTGGGAGATGGCCCCCCGGACTCATGTCTCACCCAGCTTTCAGTAAATGATTATATGCATCCTCGCTGCACTCGGGCTGCTACACTGATTTTGAGAAAAGAAAAAATAATAATAATCCCATAGTTCCCGCATGTCTCCTAGGGCCACCATACCACAGCCCCTCACTTTGGTGGCGTCGATAATGACAAGCATTGTATCACAGTTCCAAAGCCCCAGTGTCTGAGAGCAAGGTGCCACTGGCTCTGGTTCCTCCTGAGGGCTGCGAGAACTGAAACTGGGGTGCCCTACACCCTAAAGCATGCACCCTTGGCATGGCACTAAGCCTGCACAGAGGGAGGGCCACAGAGGAAGGGCCACTAAGCCTGCCTAGCGGAAGGACCACAGTGCATGGAAGTGCTGTCTACGCTCTGAGCGTGTGCCCGCCGGCTGTCCAAGCAGAAGCATGCCTTCTCCCCACACCCAATGAAAGTAGGCCTTTTCTAAACTAAGCAAAAAGCCTCTCATGCGTGGACTGCCTTGTGCATGGATCTCCACCACGCGGACATCCCACAGCTGGCCTCACCCTTCTCTCGGAGGCCTGGGGACCCAGCTCTCTGAGGTGAGGTCCAAGTTCTTCCCAGCACCATCTTCCCAAGCACTTCTAGGGGTAAGAATCCAAAAGGAAAGCACCAAGGCCCCCCACTGGATGATGTGAGGCAGGCCACACAGACTACCAGTTCTAGGGTCTGAGGAGGAGCAGACAAAAAGCACCGTGAGAGGCCTGGGAGGCCAACAGCCATGGCTCCCCTTGTTGACTTTCAGAGTCACCTAAGGGTGGGGCAGGAATAGCCCTTGATTTCCCTCCTTGACCGTATTCTTGGAATTACAGAACAAATGTGAGTGCCGGAAAGGATTTCGAGGAAATGGGATTGACTGCGAACCCATCATCTCGTGCTTGGAGCAGCCCGAGGAATGTCACCCTTTGGTGAGTCACCATGCAAGCCAGAAGAACACTCAAGGGGAAAACAAGGTTCGGCCTCTGCTCGTCTGGGCCTAGTGACAAGCAGAACCTCTCGCTCCCAACGGTGGCTCGAGCAGAATGCCAGCTGTGGAAATTTCCACTCCATTTCGAAGCACAAAGAGCCAGTATTGGGTTGTCAGATAAAATCCAGGACGCTCAGTGAAATTTGAATTTCAGACACAGAAAGAAAGTATTTTCAGCAGTATGCCCCAAATATTGCTTGAATGAGGCACGCTCCTACCAACGCTTATTCATCACTTGTCTGAAATTTAGGCTTAACTGTGTGTTTTGCCCTTTCCATCCACCACGTCTGGCAGGGATGAAAAGATTTGGGCCGTGATTATATAAGAGCTGCACCGCCACACAGGGCTCCTGCACCCTCAGGGGTATGTGGCGGTGACGGCGAACCTCTTCCACATTTCAATGACAATAAACAGCCCCTGCGGCGCATGTGCCCCAGTTTGCCACCACGGGTCTGTGGGTTCCTCCCAGGGCTTTAGCTCACAGTTCTCAACGTGGGTGGAGCTGGTATCTCACGGATGCAACTCTCGCTGAGAAACAAACTGCCCCCTTCATCTTGCTCCCATTAGGCCACTTGCCAAGTTGCAGCCTCTGGCCTGTGGAGCTGTGTCTGCCGGGACAGCTACAAAGGGGATGGCCTCCTGTGCTACGGTGACGTGGCCCTGGTAAGTCACCGCTAGGACCTCAAGCACTTCGGCCAGAATAAGGAAGTAAAACCCAGGAGCGCGACCTCACAGCAGGAGGCCTTCCCGCAGGCGCCACGCCCGCTCCATAGCCTCCTGTGTGCCCCAGGCGGCAGGGAGTGGACTGTCATGTGGCACCCGTTGGGCACCATGCCGTCCTGACTTCTCTTTCTTGCCAACCCCAGTCTTCCAAAAAGAGCAGCTGAGCAGCCCCTCCTGGGGCGTGGTGGCGCACATCTGTACTCTGAGGCAGGAGGATGGCTGCAAGTTTGAGGCCAGCCTGGGCTACATAGTAGGTCCTTGTCAGAGTGAGAAAGAGAGCAAGACAGACAGACAGACAGACAGACAGACAGACAGACAGACACAGAGACAGACACAGACATAGAGAGACACAGAGACAGAGAGACAGAAAGAGAGAGAGACTTATGCCGAGACTATTTGCCGAGATGAGCAACTAAGCCGACAAATTAGTCCACCGCTCTTCACCCCACTCGCTGCAGTTGGGGCCTACTCTAGCTCTCCACTGAAACTGTTACTCTATCAGTCCCCAGCGACTCTCAGTCTCCCGCCCTGAGGACCCCTCCCCAAGGACAGTGGCAGGGCACAGGCAGGCACCCCTACTATTTGAGGCTGGTCCCAGCCCGGTCCCATGGATACTCCCAGTCACCATCACAGGCCAGAGAGCCGGCTCCTGCCCACACACCACAGACTCCAGGGTCTCTGCACTGTCCTCAGGCCAGGCCCTGGCTCTGTGTCAGCTCAGCCTCAACCTGGGGCCTGTGCACACTCAAAGCACCCCTCGGAGGAATTGTTCCACACCTCCGCTCTTCTGCCTTTTGCTTGCTTCCCAGTTAACTTTTTTCTCCTTTTGGCACAAGGGCTCCAATCCAGGGCATCACACTGGCTGCACTCGCACTCTGTTTAATTCTTGATTTTTGAAACAAGACCTCACTAAGATGCTCAAGCTGGCCTCGAACTTGCAATCTTCCTGCCTTACCCTCCCAAGTAGCTGGGATTACAATCATGCAGCACCATGCCTGGATTTTGACTTACTTTTTAACTTCTATCTACTAACTCATTTAATCTCAACTGCTTTTAAAACAGGAATTGAAATAGCACTCAGGCGTGTTGTCTTTATACAAATTTGCATAGAATGGTTACTGCCACTTGGGTGGCATTTCATAGGTTTTTTTTCATGTTTTCACGTGCATGAATGCATTTGCTTGTCATACTCTCTGCAGGAAAACCTCATTGTGTTCAGTAGTCAAATGGGACACTGAGTCTCAGAGAGATTAAGTAATTTGCCTGAAGTCACACAGCTAGGAAATAGCCCATTCAAGAATTAAACCCTGTCTTTCCAACACAAAGTCAACAGCTTTTTAAAACCCTATGACACCTTCAACAGAACTAGTTACTGGCCCTGCTGGTTCTCTGTGAGGCTCTTACTGTCCCAAACTGACCACAAGTTCTAGAGGAGGGGAGGCCGCTGTCTCGCTCCCACACCATCTGTCTCCTCGCTCCATCCCAGTTCCCACAGCACTGGCTTCTCGTACAGGCTCCTGCATTAACAACTTCAGCACTCAGCCCACAAAAGATAAGGGGTTAAAACTTCCTGGGGAACAACTGCATGCCAGCCCCTTTAAAAACATTAACTCCTCTAGTTCTCATCAGTCTTGGGAGTTGGAGCCTTCCCCATCCCCACTTTACAGAGGGGAAAACTTGAGCTCCAGCTCCTCCTAGTAACGTCCCTAGCGCCCTAGAATGTCCTTGCTGGAATCAAGATCCAGGTGGCCTGACTCTGTGCTCCAAGCTACTGGTCCTGCTATGCCCCAGAAATGAGTTATTTGTCGAGCTCTTCACACACTCACCGCCATGCACAAGCACGCATGCACGCACATGCACACACGTGCACGCACACCACATGCTATCTGGCTGGCTGTGCTCTTACAGCCAGATGCTCATTTGAAAGAGCTTCACCTTGTTGCTTCACGTGATGCTTCTGTAATTCATTCTTTACCTCAATAAAAAGTGTCATGGAGCCCCACAAGGTGAGAAAAATGCACAACTCCTTCAGGGACCTGGCCACGCAGCTCCCGGGATGCCTTGCTCCAGAGCTGCCCCACCCTGGAAGCCCGTGCGGCTCTTCTCATTGTCCCTTTCTTCCCATTCTTTCTCCTCTCACCCTCCCGCTGCGGCATGGAATGCACAAGGAGCTATCATTTCTCTCGGAAGCAGCAACCTTCTACCAGTGGATCCGTGTGAGTACTGCACTGGAAGTGGCCCTGTCTGGTGGTAGAACTGTGGGCTGTGTGCAGAACACAACACACACACAGTGAGGAGGGCGGGGTGCTGAGCCCCAGGGAGGGGCTCAGGGAGATAGCTCAGTGGTCCAAGTGTCTGTCTGGCAAGCGCAAGGACCCACATTTGATCCCGAGTACCGCATACCATGCCGGCCCTGCACCGTGCTGGCCACCAAAGCCAGGTTTGGTGGTGCACGCCTGTAATCCCAGTGCTGGGGAGGCTGACACAGGAGGATCACTGTGAGTCTGAGCTGTGTAGTGAGACCCTGCACCAAATAAATAAATCTTTTTTAAACAAAGAACCCCAGGGAGCATGTTCCTTACTCTTCTGATGCCACCTCAGACTCGAGTTTGCACTGGGTGTCCCAGAATCTCAGAGCCCCACGGGGGTGCCGATCTGCAGCCAAGGGAAACAGATGCATAGTTCCACCCACCAGCAGGTCTCTTTAAAAAGTGAGCTCCTGGTGCAATGCATCGGGGCACAACTGGCTTTGTCGCTGCAATCTGGGATACTATGTGGGTGCTTAGCTACGTGTACCCAGACAGGCTCCTTCTCCCTCAAGGGACTGTCATGAAGGACCCGAAGTCCACCCTACACAGCTGCAGGCTCTCCAACCCCCTTGACTGCATCCAAATCAAGGAGCCAGCCTGTGGCAAGAGGTTTATCCCTGTTCAGAGGAAGACACCCTCCCTCGAACAGGGCCTGCTCTTCAGTACCTGCGCGGGGACAGCTCCCGGTCACTTCCGCAAGGGTGTCCTCAGTTGCTACAGGTCTGAGCTGGGTCTGACTTCTGCCTAGATGTACCATCAGGCGAGGTGTCCCTCACAGGCACGGGCTTGCGCAGGGCCTCACCCTTCCTGGCCCCTTGGATTGCACACCCCCATCCACTCAGTGGTTGCGGCATGAAGTCAGCAAACGCCACAAACCAGGCTTTATTTCATGCACACAACTCTGTCCAGGCCATTTCCCTGGCTCTTGTGTAGACTGGAGTGCAAAGGGCTTATAATGACTCCAAGTGACCTAATCTGACAAGGCTTCTGTTTTTCATGGTGTTGGAGATCAAACCCAGCCCCCCCACACACACTGAACTATATCACAAACCTTTCATATTTTTAGTTTTGAGACAGGGTCTCACTAAATTACTACAATGCCCAGGCTGGGCCTGAACTCAAGATGCTTCTGCCTCAGCCTCCCAGAGTTCTGGGACTATCAGCAAGCACCCTGACAAGACTCACTTTTTAATCAAAACAACAGGTCTCACGAAAGAGCCCAAGGCGTCTGCCAGCAGCTGGGGAGGATGGCACCTTGGAAACCCACCACTTGTCAACTCTGACAAGCATGCAGTCCAGTCCTGTAGCCCTGCATGCATACACACACATGCATGTGCATGTGCACGTGTGCACGCACATGCACACACACACACACACGGTAGTCATTGTGTTCTCCTCCTGTGATTCAGAATGCTTCCCTACAATCCCTGCTGTCTGCCTCCTCAAACATCACCGTCCTCGTGCCGTCCCAGCAAGCTATTGAAGACATGGACCGAGACGAGAAGAACTTCTGGTTGGCACAGAGCCGCATCCCAGTCCTGATAAAGTAAGCCTCGTGTATTCCAGGGTTCATGGTGACCAGCTGAGCTTGGCTCAGACATCCCCTGGGTGCCAGAGGAAGCCCATGTCCTTCAAACCCGTGCAGCTGAGCATGTGGGCGCCCTTCGGGCCTCTCCCTGAGATGGCGGCCACCTGCGACCCCGACAGCCAGCTCCACCCCAAGCTCTGCACACAGTTATCCCCACAACCCTGAGACGTAGTGCCGTGACTACCCCCACTCGATAGATGTGGTAACTGAGGCACGGGGGCGGGGGTTCAGTAACTAACTCGAGCCACAGCCGCAGGGGGCATGGGGCTGTTATGGCAGCCCAGCGCCGGCACCTACGCGCCTGACACCTCCCTGCTAGCGCCCTCAGCCGACATCTCAGCGTGACCTGCGGTCTGTTGTTTAGATACCACACGCTCCTGGGCACCTTCAGTGTGACAGATCTTCAGAGCCTGCCATCTTCTGACACGCTGGCCACCTCTCTGCAGGGCAGCATCCTTCGCCTCCAGAAGGCAGATGGGGTAAGAGAGCTCTGGCTTTGGTCTCACGGACACGGGCATCTTCATCTTTATGGTATCTTTTAATATGTGTGATATGGAAATTCTAAATAAATGTAAAAAATAAAGTAGATCTCCACAAGAGCATCGCCCACATGCAACAGTCATCAGCACACACACACACACACACACACACACACACACACGGCCACATTCCCTCCTAGCAGCAGGCATAGACTGGCCGGAAAAGAGTAAAGGCCATGGCCTCCAGGGCTTTTACTGTGGTGTAGTTTCCAGGAGCTGGCTAGGACAGCCTAACGCGTCCCATGGATGGCTAACGCTGCACGGGCAGGCAGAGGCCCACAAACCTGTACTGAGGACCGGCTGTGCGCAGGAACTCAGAGTGCTGCGGCGCCCAGAGAGAGCCCCCAGCCTGGCGCCTGCAGAGTGAGCTCCAGACTCCAGCTCACATTCCAAACTCCGTGAGGCAGTGGCTGCCTGCCTGTGGATGCCAGTGGCCCAAAGCTCCTTCCAGGAGTCACAAAAGACCAAAAGGAGGGCTCTGCCAGGAAGTCAGAGCGGCCACTTGCCAGGCTCGAGGGCGTGGTCAGAGCTGTTTGAGAGCCAGTGCTCTGAATACTCCCACCTGTCCACGAGGCCAGGGGCCACGTAGCTGTGCCATAATATACAGAGTTCCTTGGGTGACTCATTTCAGAGAGCAGAACATACATGGAGTGTTTTGAGCTTCAAACTGAACTTTTTCTAAAGGGCCGGCCTGATAGCTCAGAGGGCTAAAGCGCCTGCTTAGACAGAGCACAGTAGCCAGGGCTGAATCCCCGGTGTGCCGTGCCGTCCCGCCCCGCTCCCGGGGCGCACTGAGCCAGTGATTGAGACTGGGCGTGGTGGTGCACACCTATAATCCCAGCACTTGGGAGGCTGTAACAGGAGAATCACTACAAGTCTGATCTATGTAGTAAGACCTTGAACACCCCGTAGACCCTGCTCTTAATACAGAAGAAAAAAGACTATTTCTGTGTGAGTGCATGTTTGCAGGACCCAGCGACCATTTCGAGAACTGCTTCTGAAAGTGGCAGGAAGAGTTCCAAGTGCGGGAGAGCCTTGGGGACAGTCATGGCCTAGTGTCTTTCACTGTAATAAATTTTTATATAAACATGTACTGTATAATTTGCTCATACTTTGTAGTATGTGAAAGTACAGAGGTGTGTGTGTGTGTGTGTGTGTGTGTCTCATGTCTGAGGAGTCACAGTTTAAAGGTGTCTTTCACTGTGATTCATGTCACGAGTGTGATAGTCGTGCTGGCCACAGGTGGCAGACCGAGATGGCCCCTCCGCAGTGGCTCTCTCAGGCTCACCTGACCACGACCATGTGCCTTTGCAGAATGTCACCATCGGAGGCGCAGCCATCATCAGTGGCGACAATGTGGCCACCAATGGCATGATTCACATCATCAACAAGGTAGGGATGCCACCACCCCAGACTGGGAGCTGGAGCGTCTCCCCGGCCCCTTCCCCTGCTGGGTGGGGTGGGGTCTGGAAAACCAAAGCTGCCGGCCTTGGGCCTGGCGTGAGAGAAACCTGACCGGCGCCTCGCTGCGCTTGTTTTAAACAATGACAGACTGCCTTCATCAGTGCGGCTCATCCAGCACTTCGCAGCCTGGGTCTGCAGCAGCCACAGCAAGTGTGGCCGCACACACGCACACACACACACACCATGCACGCACACCACGCACACACACACCATGCACACACACCACGCGCACACACACACACCATGCACTCACACCACACACAC